CCAAAATTGCTTTTCCTGCTCTGGAGGTAAGCAATGATAAAATAGCAAGGAGATTTTATCAACAGAATACTTGCTGGCTGTGGATTTTCACTGCAACTAGTAGGTGATATTGTCAGACATAATGCTTAGGAGGCAAACTTTTTTTCATCCAGAAGCAAGCTTGAATTAAAGAGTTTGGAAGCCTGAAAATATCAAGGAATGTTTCATATATGCTTTCTCGGTATTCCCTCTCCTAGACATCTGCCTATTGTTTTTTTTAAAAAAAGGATAGTGCTCTCATAGTTTTTTGTCTGAGCTAGTATGACCATTTCTAGGATTTGGAAGACCAGTAATTTCGTCTAAAATGGAAATAATTAGTTGCAGAAAGTTGTTTGTTCCTAGAACATCCTGTCTTGGAGTCCAGCTTCCTGCTTCTACAAACAGCTGCATTATCATTCTTATTAATCAGAAATAATAAGTTAATAAATAACCACTCAAACTGAATAAAACATAGGTAATATTGTTGGGGTTATTTTAACAAGAATTCAGCATGCCACCTTTCTGTCATAAAGTTGTTTTATTTGTGAATGTTTGTAACCTTTTTTGTTTGATGTGGTATTTACGTTGACCTATGGTATGGGCTTTTTTTTGATTTTTTTTTTCAATGTTTCGGTGGTTTTTCCAAGGTACTGCTCAGTCACTACTGGGTGAATATGCTCACTGTTAGCTCACTGTCCAATCCCCTGTTTAATTGCAGGGCTTATTGTCTTTAGTTGATTCCTGATAAATCCCTCTTTCCTAATTTCTCTGTTTGTTAGTATCTGATCCTTTTGAGAAAGGTTAGACTCTTGGTATGCCAACTTCTTCCAGTATTTTTCTCTTCAAGTACTCCTCCCTTTCACCCTGGCCCAGAAGATGTTCTCAGTCAGATGAAAGAATGTAGTGGGTGCACTGAGAAGAATCTTTCCTTCCCCCATCATCCTGCCCTGTCTGAATCCAAGAAGTGACAACAGTGTCGTATAGCAATCAAATTATTTCATCGGTGGGTTTGCAGAACCACAAGAGGTTGAAACTCTGCTAAAACATCTGTTTCCTGACAGGTTAGGTTTATTATTCCTGAAGTAAACTTCCAGAAAATGACTTTGTGTCCTTAACAGTAAGAATTCAACAGACTGGAAATCAGGCTGACTGCTAAGTGGAAAAGTTGATGGTTTTTGTGAAGGCACAGTACAGCCACCTGTGTACTATTACATTGTGGAAATTAGTCATTTGTCTGGTATAACTTTTGGTATAACAAATGCTGGAGGTAATAAAGCAATCCTCATTTTTGTGGGTTTTTAAGTCGACTTCCCTTCTTGCTCCACCCATGAATGCCATGCATATGCCACTCCTAACCATGCTGGGTTTTGTACTGTTGGCTGAACTTGCTCTTATCAACTTGTAGAGATTCCCACACACACACACATACTTAGAGGATGAATTTCTGAGGGAGGAATTTGGTTATCCTTTGTGCTTCCTTTTTAATGGTATTATACATTCAAGTTATAGCCCCAAACCTGGTATTGGTTTTAATCCTTGTATTCTTTTAATTCTTGATTTCTAGTATGAAGGATCGCAAACTGGCCACTTTTTCATAGCAATGTTTCTTCTTCTCCAAACCAGGCAATGATTAAATCCAAACTGTTTTATTTTATATCAGTGTACAGTCTTTTCATTTGAAAATAACCCCTTTTCAAAAGCCTAGCCAAGTAGACTACATGTGAGTAGATTTTTTGGTATCCAGACTGAGGATTAAAATAAACTGGCTCCTTGAACATTTGCTGGTAGTTGTAGCAAGATCATGCCTTGTTTTCTGTCTGTGAAGTGTTCCTTTTGCAGAGAACCTCCTGTTTCTTCTCTTGCTCCTCTTGGTGGAGAGGAAAATAACTTTAAACCAAGTTTGTTAGGAGAGCTAGGAAACTGCAGTGCATCTCACAGTTACATGCTTTTACCTACTGCCTCCTACTGTATTGCTTTGAGCAGTGGAACGACTTCCTTCACCATAATGTAAAGTCACAAGCGTGATCATCAGCTGCTGAGATGAAGAGGGTATTTCATGCCACACAACTGTCATCATGGCTCCCGTTAGGTCAGTGGTGTCGCATGGTTGGTGTCAAATCTGCCACGCTTGCATTTGTCCGCCTGTTCTCCTGTGTTGTTTCAAGTGCTTTTGCTTTAGGCTTTTCCCCCACCTCCTAATAAAGGAGAGTAATGAAACCTCTGCAGTTCCAGAGGCCCAGAGAGCTAAACCACTGCCATAGTTCACCTATAGTCACTTGAAAAACAGGCTTCCAGATAATGAGGGAAAAAGTTTCTGAATCTGCTCAAAGCTCACCATCAACATTGTATTTTATGTGTCCTCCTCATTTAGGACTGTGTTTTCTTTTTCTGTTTACATTTTGCGGGGTTTTGAACATCAACTTCAGCTGAAGCCTGAAAGCAGCTTTGTGAGTGCACCTTCTGCACATGAAGAACGCTGTTGCAAGGCTTGAGATGTTGACAGTGGCTGTACCTGAGTCCCACTGAAGGAAGGAGAGAGCCTTGGTTCTCACCTGCAGCAACACTGGGCACGTTTGCCGAACTTGGCCTTCGGGAGTTTAAAGGAGAGAGATCTCTTGTGCTTACTAACAGCAATAAATTGTCAGGCTCTTTGCAATTAAGTGAAAAGTCTCATGTGTAACAACCCGACAGTGTGCTTTCCCCAGTAAATAAGAACTACATAATGTGCAGCACTATGAAGAGCTTGTTATACAGAGTTCATTGTCTCCTGGGAGGTGGTGTGCGTGCTGAAGGACGAGGGTGAGGTACTTGGCTGAACACTTCTCCCCAGCAGGGTGGCATCAAGAGTTTAAGAGCACTGAGAATTATATGTAGTGAAAAATAATAATCACTTATGTGTTCCTGATCGTTGTAACGGCGTTGAGGGGTTTATCTTAAAGAGCAAAGAATCCCAAAGCAGTATTTTCACATATTTGTCCGTGTTCTGGTTTTGTGTGAATTGCAGAAGATGAAGAATAAATGGGTGGCTGAGGCCCCCTGGCGCCAGCAGAGCACACTGCACTCCTCAGGCAAACGACACCGAATTGTGTTTATTTTTTAATACAAAGAAACACTTTCTAGGCTCATGATGTAATAATTTTTTGTATGCAATTGTTTCCTAGCTAGAAACATGAATACTCTTATCATTTATTTTTCATGTCTTGTTTTGCAAAACTGTGCAGAAAATGAGAGAGGGGACTCTGTTTGCAACAATTATCATTAATATTTGCATTACAGGAGAAAAAAAATACAAGGAAACTGAAAACTTGTAAGATACTTTTTTTTTTTTTTTTTCTTTTTTTTTTTTACCACGATTATATCTCTGCCCAAGAATGACTGGGAGAAAAAACTACACAGCTAATGGTGTCTGATGCTGTGGTGTAGTATTTAACTTGGAGGTGGGAGGAATGGGGAAGAAGAAGTGCTAGTGAAGGAGGAGCAAGATAGTTGTGGGGTGTTGTTTGTTTCTGTGGTTATTAGCCATGAGGTTTTGGTCAAATCACTAAGACCTCGAGAATCACTTTCAAATGCTATGATCTAAGATAGAGTAGTATGGCCAGATGTTAGAATAGATTCCCTCTGTGTTAAAATATAGCTTAGTATAGTATAAATATAGTGTATTATATTATACTTATTATATAACACTCTATTAAATATAGTAAATATAGTGTAAATTAGTTCAGAGCTCTCCTAGGAAATCAATTAGCATCTAAAGAATAGCTCCATGTAGGGTAACTTAGTTGTGTCTCTTTTCAATATTTCTGTGTTAACAGTAGTCTCAAGTGTGGCTTTTGTCAAAATCTAGGTATTTTCTCTTGGAACAAAGTTTTGTCATTCCATTAGGTATGAATAGCAGCTAATGAAGTTGTATAAAGAAATTAATTTGGGTGTTTAGTCAGCTGGTTGGCTTGTCACTCTAAGTAGTCTGTAACATTCCTCCTCATCTTACTGTTGCACAAATTTTTAATAAGCAAGAGAAGGTGGTGACATCCTCCAGAATGCTATTATATGTTATTCATTAACAATTAAATAAAAAAAAGCAGAATGTAAAGTTATGTCTTTATAAGTAGATATGCTTTGCTTTTTGGACATTTTATAAACTGGTGCCTTCAGACAAAACGTTTCCAAATAGACCTGAAAAGTGTGAGGGAGAGTGGGCAGAATGAGGAGAGTGAAAAATTAAATGGAATCTCTCTGGGTGACATGAGATCTGTGGCTTTTGTTCTTATTTTGGGTACACTTGGGAAGCCTGTTACTCATGGTGTCTGTACAAATTTCTGATCGCTTGTTCACAGAAACTCCTATTTAAGGCTGTCAGTTCTTACAGTAGATAATAACTTTTGTTAAAATACACAGTTATGTCAAAGTGTTCTGACTGGTACTTTGTTTCTTTCCAAAGATGGCAAGGTTGATACTTCCAATGTTGTAAAACAATACATGCTGAAAATGAAATTTTCTTCCCTTTCTTTTGTTTCTTACTTCAGATTTTGAGATAACTGAAAGCTATAGATATGATCTAGGCAGGCCTCTATTTTCTGAATAAGCTCCAGTTAACATCTGAGTTTCAAAACCTTCTGTTCAGCTGAACTTTTCTGTGAATATCAGTATCAGACTTAAGATGAACAAATAAGAAAAACATAAAGGTTGAGATTTTTTTGTTTCCCTCATTGGGTGATAGCATAGTTTCTATCACAGAGAGTATTTTCTACTTTATTATCATTTTCTGCTGTTCTTAAGAACCAGTTCAAGATGAGTCAAAAACCTAGATTTTGAGGAGTTGTGTATGGCACTGAACATATCCTACCATATTCATACCTTAAACTGTTCTGGAATTGTAAATGTCTCACTTGTTTTTGGAATAGCTGTGGAAAGCTACATTTTCACAGATGACAAAAGGGGAACATTCACTTTAACATATTTGTTGGTTTTGTGCCTTTTTTCAGTTCTTCAAGGATCTTATGCATAGCATATGAGGTTTTACAAGGTTTGCAATATATGAATAAACATGGAATGGTCCACCGAGCACTCTCACCTTGCAACATTCTTTTGGATCGAAAGGTACAGCAATAGGAATAGATCAATGGGTTTGTTTGCTGATAACGAGTAGCATTCTATGTTGCATATGGAGACTGACCAGTCACATTTCTACTGATGAGGGGGAATAAAACCTGTGTATCTGAAAAGGTGTTGGATTTGTTTATTTGTTTTTAAACTACAGTTTTCCTCTATTTCTGAAATTTCAAATGTATTTCAGAACTTATTTTTCTATTTTCACATTGTCCTTTGTCCCAAGTCACATTTTTTTCTCCCTTTTCTTCTGAAAGTGGTAACTTAAGTCTACTTGTCATTACTGTAATTAGTTACAAGACCTTCCTGGCTGTTTTAGTAGGAAATACTTCTTATGGTTATTTAGATGTTAATAATATTCCATGGTGATATGATGTTTGACTTTTACGATGTTAACATATTTCTTTGTTCATGTTAAATTATTCAAACTTAAGTATCTCTCAATTCTGTTAGAATGTTGAGTTGGCAGTGTGGAATACTGGTTCTGCTTGTAAGAGTTCAGAGAAATTATTAGCTACTGTTGTAGTCAGAGCAGCTACTTCATCTGCACTGACAGCTCAAGAGCTTAACCTGTCTTCATAACCCCTCTCTCCTTCCCCTTCTTACTCAGTTTAGATAAAATAACTAGATCCTCCCCTTGAAGGCAGAAAGAGAAGATAAGACAAAGGAAATAAGGAACATGTATTTTTTTAATATGCTTGTAAACAAATGAAAATCATAATAATGCTCTAACATGCAAAAATACTCTAGGATTTTAAGCTATTCCTAAAATCAATAAAAGAACAAAAGAGGGCCATAAGACCATAAACTTCTAAGCTCTTCCCTGCCCTTTGAATAGCCTTCTGTGTTGTACCATCTGGAGGCTGGCTGAGTGTAATTCAAAATCCAGCAAAAAATAAGACCTCAGTTTAACTTCTGTGTCTATTTTTTGTTATTTTCACGTTAACTTTCTGCCTCCACAAATAAAAGGAAGCACCTGAAAACAACTTTTTTTTAAATAGGAGTTGATAGAGGTAGGGAGAGCAAGATAGTAGTGAGTTGGTGGAAGGACTAGACAAGCAAGGCTGGATAAATGGAAGAAGTGAGGGAATAATGTCATGTTTAGGGAGTTCTAGGAGTCAAACAGGATTTTAAACCGTTTACAAACAGGAAAAATGTTCAGTAGAATATTTAAGCCCTTTTGATTTACTGAAGATATACTGTAACTTAGAAAGGACTGATATTCTTGTGTGTTCCAAACAAAGTGATTGCTTGACGCTCTTGGGAAGTAAAAGCTTTTTAACTTGCATAGATGGTGCCGAAATATAAGACAGTGACTTTTTCTGGAAATCTGTCCTCCAACAGCTAATGCAACTTGAAGTTATTTTTGATCTTTTTTTGCTTTTAACTAAAATGCATATTCTTCCAATGTCAGATTCTGCTGCTGTTGATAATTTATTTTTTCCTTTTCAGGGACACGTGAAGTTGGCTAAATTTGGACTCTATCATATGACAGCTCAAGGTGTTGATGTTGATTTTCCCATAGGGTAAGGATGTAGTTACACAATAAAAATATAGCAGAGTTCTAATTATCAGGAAATACATTTGTTTTGAGCAATCATCTTTAAAAATGCGCTGTATGCACAGGTTATAGTTTGTTATTCTAATGTGTATCTGTTGCATACACCCCTTACACAGAAGCTTCTGATAATGGCATTTAAGAGGTGAAATGAGTGAAAGACAGATAATGGGTACCATTCAAGCATCTTGCTGTAACTGTTATCAGTCCTTGCTGCCTGGATTTGCCTTCAAATGCTAGTAGTTCCCTGTGACCTGGATTCCTAATTTCAAATTTAGGAAAATGTGCAATCAATGCTTCATTATTGCATGCCACTGTAGCTTTTTTTGTCTCATTTATCATTTTGTGATTTATTTTCAGGTGATCCTACCATCTGGCCAAAATGGCATGCTTTACTGCAGTGGGTTTTTTGCCACTTCTTGGTTTTTTGAGGTGTCATGTTGTTTGCAATTGAAATACTGAGCTGATTCTTAAAGATATGGCCAAAAGAAGCAGTGATGTTTCCTTTCAAAACATGACTTACAATTTTTTTTTAAGTATTGTAATGAATTGTTGACAGAAAAAAAAATTGTAGTATATTTTAAAATTATCTAGAAGGTATCTAGCAGGTGGAATATGCCCTCAACACCTTTTGTTACTTTTTTTGCAAGTTCAGATGTTGTTTGGTGGGAACACTATTGATGAAGAATGCTGCCACCACCCCCAAATACGAGTCTAAGATAGACTAACTTAATGCACTAATGCTGAAACTCAGTGTACATTTTCTCTGAGATATGTAGACATGCTACTTTCAAAGCTACTGTTTCTTCTCACAAAAAGACTGAGCTGGTGATTGAGATTTGACCTTTTATGTAGTAAACACTATGTATTTTGCAATTGGAGTGAAACTTTGCTTTAATACAGTGTAGATTTTGACTGAATAAAATAGAACAGTCTGCTTTGTATTCTAGTTTCTCAGAATGCAAACTTGTTCTGATTACGTAATGGAAAGTCACACTTTTTGGACAGACAGGATATTACTTAATGTTGGTGCATCTTTCTAGGTACCCATCGTATCTGGCGCCTGAAGTAATTGCACAGGGAATAGTCAAACCAAGTGATCATACTCAGTGTGAGAAGCCTCTGCCTTCCGGCCCTAAATCAGATCTGTGGTCTCTTGGTATAATATTATTTGAGCTTTGCATGGTATGTAAGAGGATAATTCTCTTGATTTTTAACTCTTTGGGAATAGTTTCATTAACTTGATTGCTATTGAGTGTGGGGTTGTCGTGGTTTTGCCCTGGCTCAATTTACTTTTACATCCCCCCCATACAATTACTATTAGTTGAGAGAAGGTTTATGCAGACAAAAAGAGACTGAATTGAAAAAAAAGTATGAGTATTTATTATTAACAAGCTAAAATTAAAGAATTATATCTACAACAATTCTACTTAAGTAAAAGGTATTATGTATTTACAGAAGATACTTCTCCCCCCACCTCCCTTTATATCAGTCCAAGGAGGAGAAGCAGTCCTTTTCCATTCTCAGAATTCCAACTCTCTCTCTCTCTTTCTCTCCAGTAACTTTGCAGTACTCTCGTCGCAGCTAGAACCTTTTCTCTTTCTTTGTGTCAGCCTTTAGGGCTGGGCCTACCCCCCTCCTGGGCTAAAACTCAAGGCTGGGGGTTACCCAGGTCCTGAAGGGTTTTCTTCCATAGGCTTCCAAGGGGACACTTGCTTACTATGGATCTTCTTCCACAGGGTTACAGGGGATAATGGTTTAAGAGTTCACCCCTGTTTTCCTATGGAGGTCCCTCCCCATGGGAGAACAGTCCTTGACTGACTTCTCGGCATGGGTCTAGTCTGGATCCCACGCATGGATCCCAACATCCCTACCCGAGCTGTTTCTGCTCCAGCGTAAGGACATCCTTACCCGAGCCGTTTCTGCTCCGGCGTAAGGCTCTCTCTCTCTCAAAGTCACAAATCTTCAGCAGCAGCATGGATCTTTCACACAGATCACAACATCCCACCTGAGCCGTCTCTTGCTCCAGTGTGAGGTTCTCTCAGGGTCACAAACCTCCAGCACCATCGGCATGGATCTCTCACTGGGATCCCAAGCTTATCTGAGCCGTCTCGCTCCAGCATAAGCATCGTCCCCTTCAAGGGTCACAAAGTCTTCAACAGGACTCTGCCTCATCCGAGCCGCTCCTGCTCCAGTATAAGGCTTTCTCTTTCTGTCAAAGTCACAAATCTCTGGTACATCCACAAGCTCCTCTGTGAGCCGCATGGGGGGTCTCTTCACCCCAACAAACTTTCACAGGTAGCAGGAATTTTATTTTTCAGTCTTTATCCTGCTGAAGGGAGGGAGAGCGAAAAGGAGAAAAAAGCAGCTCTCCCCCCTTCGAACTTTTCTTCTCTATCCTGCAACTGCCAGCTTTGACCTTGGAAGTCCTGTTATCTCATGGCTGGAATTCTTCTGCAGCGATTTCTCATCTAAGCAGTTCGTCTTTTAAACTTTTTTTTCTTCACTCTTTTATAGAAGAGAAAGGAGGCTTCAGTACTACACCTGCCCCCCCCGGCCCAAGCCAGGGAGGAGGGGGCCTTGGCCCTCCTCAGGCCTGCTACTCTGCTACATGGCTGCTGCTCCTAATTTCAACTGCGCAACCACCTTCTCTTCTGTTTTCTCAAAGATGTAATTAGCAAAGGTGTCACTGAACTTTTTGATTGTTTTTTTTGTCCAGAAATCACCTGGACAAAACCATCCTCAGCCCCAGGGATGGGCTGGTGGGCAAAACCACGACAGGGGTTAATGACACTTTGCCCATCGCCCAAGCACAAATATCAGAATATGTTAACATTGCTACCTGGACAATATTGGTGGTGGTTCTAGTAGTAGGATACATATTGTTGTGCAGGATGCTGGTATGAGTGCGTGTGTTAACCATGAAAGACAGCTGCCTGGGGAGCCACAAGACTGTGACTGCAGGGCTGTTCCACTTATGAGACACTATCAGTATTATATTTTTTCTTTCTGATAGCATGAAAGTATTTCTGCTACAGTGGGGTAAATAGCTTTTTCTGTTCTTACAGATACTTTTTATACATCTAAAATTCACATGTAGAAGCTTATTTCACTGTCTTTGTATAGATGGGATAAAATGTTATCTAAATATTTTCATGTAGTAGTATTCAACTGTTGATTTGACTTTGTTATTTGTTTAGGGGAGAAAATTATTTCAGAGTTTGGAGATAGCAGAAAGATTGAAATTTATACTTATGTTAGGTAAGTAGCACAAAATGAATTTTTCAAATTTCCAAGCTACAATTAGAGTTTTACAGACTAATCAGCTTGTAATGCTCAGACCTAAAGCACTTTACGTTTGTCATCTTTCATCTTCAGAGTTAAATAAATATTTGAAGCATGGTTACTTTTCTAGGGAAAGTACAGAGATGGGTGCCAGGAAAAATAACTTTGGAAGATGCTGTATGTTAACATAGGGGCAAACTGTTTAAACAAAAATGCTCAAGAATGGTGGCCATTTTCATGATTATTTGTTACATTGCAGGAGGTTTCTGGAATAGGTTAAGAATTGTATGATATTAAAGAAAACTGTCCCTGCACTAGCAGTGCTTGTGTAGTAACTGCCAGGTAGGGAGCAGCAGGACTCAAAAAGGAAAACAGGAAAAAAAAGAGAGCTGAGAAGTGTTTTACTGGATCTGGCCTTGTTTCTGGCTTCACCTGCAAACTATAAAACATTACTGTAGATGTGGAATTCTTGCTTAATGTAAATAAGTCCGGAACTGGGGCTATTTTTGTGTGGTTTAAAACTTGATTTCTGGTGGGGTTTATGAATAAACCATGGGGAGTGGAAGGGCACGAATTTGCAATTTGAAACTTTAACAGTAAGTTATTGTTATCCAGAGCAAATAGTAATACTGTTAAAGTTAATTACTGTCAGGAGAAACATCTTTTTCCTTCAGCAATTAGTGCTTAGGTGCTGAAATTCTGCCTGTTTTGGGGCTTTTTTAACAAAGCTTCCTGAAGTATTTCCATTCCCTTCAACTTGAATGCAAGTTGGGGGTAACCTTTATCCACTGCAAAGCATTCATGTCCTGACATGGGAATTATTTAGTCAATAATGTAATGAAAACAAGTTCTAAAATACTGCTAGTGTTATCTGCAAGTAGCAAGAAAATGAAAAATTACTTCAAGATTCTATATACAGGTACCTTTAAGAGATTTTTTTTTTTCATTTATAAGTGAAAAGACTATTTTAATTTATTTGACAGAGACTGACAATCTGGAGCTACTAAGCCTGCAAAAAGATTTTCACTGTTAGCTTAGAAGTGCTACGTAACTTTCCTTAGGCTTCAATTTTTCTCTGCATAGATGATGATAATTTTCATTTTAACAGTTCACTTTTGAGTGGTGTGGCAATGTTAATGAAAAGCCAATACCAAGTGGTTTTTATTGGAGTGGAGGTTTACCTGATATCCTGTTTAATTTGTATCACTTTTTTTCATAATCCTTAACTTTTTATTGTTCTATTTGTTTTTCAAAGGCTGTGTAGATGATATTGTAACTGTATTGGCTGAAGAACACGGCTGTCTTGATATTATTAAGGTTTGTGAACCTACTCTTTCATGCTGTCTTATCTAGAATACTTTATTATTGTTGCATAATATTTCACGTTTATTTTTTTAACTTATTTGGTCACGTATTGTATTGCAATATGATAAAAAATTTTTGAAGTCTAAAGTATTATCTAAGATCCTTTCAATAGCCAGCACTAGTAATATTCTTTCCTGAAGTAACTGTTGATCTCAGTAAATGTTAATGCTCTCTGGGTAGTTTAAAAAGTTATAAATTTTCTTTGCAGTGTTGGTGAGTAAGTATTTTTCTTCCATAAATTTAGTTTTCTATCTGATCCGCTTTATGCATACTGATAGTGTAGATTTATACAGTTCAGCTTCTCATCCACAAAAGTAAGCACTTAATTTTCGTGTCTGCATATTTTGAGACACTATGTGAAAGGTTTCTGACTAGTAGCAGAAGAAAGTTCTAAGGTACTGTTGTTTCAAGCTGGGTACAGAATATCTAAATTTAAAAAAAAAAAAAAAAAAAGGTAAAAAGATGCATACACTGCAGATTTCTCAGATTTTTTTTCCCCAAATCAAATGTAGTACTGGGAGGTGAGAATAATTACTTCCCCAGTGTTTCAGTCTTACGCAGCTTAACCTCATATGTGTAGATGTGAGATTTTATTGCTCTCATTGGAATAACCTGTATGTTAAAAGTTAAGCATAAGCCAAATGGCTTGCTGAATTAAGACAGTAATAAACAGACCTCTTCCACGTTTTTCTTACATTTCAGGACCTTTCTGAAAATGTTGTAGCTCTGCTGAAGAAATGCCTTACGTTCCAGCCTTCTAAAAGGTAGGTATTCAGTCCAAGGGCATAGTAAACCACGTGGGTTACTATGAAATTAGAAGAACTGTTGCAGAATCTTTTTTAAAATATTGACATTTGGGCTACATCTAAAAAATTCTTGGTTTTGTTGCTTTTCAGTGTTTAAAGGGAAAGAATTAGAGAGAGGACACAGAAATTAAAGGTTCAAAACCTTGAGATTGAATCTGAGAATTTTGGAGGAAAAGTATTCAGGCATTTGTAGTTCTAAGTTCACAGCTTTTTCTGATTCCCTGTCTGGAAGCTGATGGTGGTTACCATAGCTTTGTTGTAGCCAGAATTAGGGTTGCTTTCTTCAGATCTCTCCTTTCAAAGAAGTTTTTCATTATGTCAGTCCACTACAACTTCCTTCTGAAAATGGAAGTATGTTTTTGTTCTTTAATCAAGGCTTTTCATTTGTATTTTTCACATCTCTGCTTTGAGCAACTAAAGGGGAATTAATAAAATAGTTCATATTGACATTAAGTGAAGGTGGGATCTGAATTTGGGCTGTAAACAGACTGCATGGTTTGCTTTGCTTCATGAATTGAAAAACATTAATAGACAGTTCTGCTACTAAGATTTCTGAAATCCAGTGTAATTTAAAATAACTTGCTAGTATTTATTACTGAGGATATTTCTCACATTGTTGAAATACAACATTTTTGGAAGCACTTTACTGTAAGTATTTTATTCTCTTTTCTTCATTCAAGGCCAACTCCAGAAGAACTGCTGCATGACAGTTTGTTTGGTGAGGTATCCTCACTATATCCTCCCTTCCACAAACCTGCTGGTCTGTTTTCATCTTCTCCAAGGTGTGCTAATTTAACGCTTCCTGAAGACATAAGTCAATTGTGTAAAGGTAAAAGCAGGTGGTGGGGTAAATGACATAGAAGGGGGAAGGAAAATAAAATGTTATTGTATTTCCTCTCCAAAAGTTTATTCAAAGAAACTATTAAATGTTACAACACTACATTAATGAAATAAGTTGTTTAATGGACAGAGATATAGGCAGACATGTTTGAAGGGATATATGCAAGTCAAAGGAGGACATCTTAATTTTGTACTTCAGCTTCAGGGAATAAATATTTAACATTAGTATTCAAGTTCAGGTTGCAATAGCGGTATCATCTTTTACCTTTAGAATTTGGACATGTGTATATACAAGGTAATTCTTTTCCACTAAATTCTGTTGTGAATTGATAATTGGATTCTCCTGGATCATAGCATCAGATGATTTTTTGAATATTGGAAAACAAAATCCTTGTGAAAGAGGTCACTTTCTAAGCTAAAAGATTATACTTCCAAGTTTTGAACTACAGCATGTTCAGAGTGTTACCACTCTCAAGTCCTCATTGAGAGGACTTGGAAATGTTTAGAGAGTCTCATTATACGGTTTTTGGAGACAAATATTTTATACCTCATTACAATGAGTACGGTAGGTGAAGGGAAGAGAGATTATAACTATTCAGTATGAATCACTTGTTTCTTATTTTAACTCTTAGTGCAGTGTTGTGTACAAAACAGTGGTTTGTTTTGTTTAAAAACACACAGAAAGCAGAAGTCCGCACTTCAATGTATTTATCTGAGTTTTTCAAGGCAAACTAGAAATATTTGCCTTTTTATTTTTTTACTTCTTTCCTAATTTCCTAAAGGGCACTTGCAAAGGGAAGATCACTTTTCCTCAAATTTCCCATTAAGGTTAAGACCTTTCAAGCAGATATTTTTTTCAACAGTATGTGTTTAGAGTTGTAAGAAGAAATACAAGCTGTCTAAAAAGCTGTCATTTCTTTTTATGTCATTTCTCCCAATAGATGAAGATAATGATTACCTAGCAGAAAGATCAATTGAAGAGGTTTATTATCTCTGGTGTTTGGCTGGAGGAGACTTGGAGAAAGAACTTGTCAACAAGGAAATCATTCGGTCAAAGCCACCTGTCTGCACACTTCCCAAGTAAGGATAGAGAAGCACTTTAAGGAAAAGGAGGATGGATGGATGCTTGGATGGATGGAGAAGGCTAGTAATTTGAGAGAACATATTTAGTTTTAACACCTGTATGTGTGCAAAATATTGAAAAAGGCGTTCTTGAACAGCAGGAAATTTTCACTTCTCCTCTTACCCAATTTAAGGCATTATCTGAATGTCTTGTATCTGTCACCTACCTGATCTTTCTATTGTTTTTTGAAAATTTGAAAAGATGCAGGGAAAGTGCAAAATGCTGAACTGGAAGTCCCTACATTTTGTACACTTTCCAGTCACATTAAGTTTTAGTAATAATGTCTCACTCTGCTTCAACAGCACATTTGAAATTGTAATTTAATTTAATGTGTTGTGCAGCAAATTCTCACATTCTGAATTCCCTCTCGTAGGGCAACAGTGCTGAATGGTTAATCCAGTTATTCAGCAGATCAGCTGATTAATTTTAAAAAAAAAATGCTTAGTTGTATGATTTATAAGTCTGTAAAAGCTTTTTAGTCATTACTACTTCTATCTTACTGCTACACATGTTGCAATTTTTTCTAGTAATTCATGTTTTAATCTTATTATCTGATTTTAACAAATATAATTATGTGCTGACATATATCAATTTACTATTTTGGGGTTTACACATGAAGTATGTGTACAGCCAAAATGTAATATCTTTAAAAAAAAAGTGTGGAGCTAGGTTTTAAGTGATATTTTGGTGTCAAAATTAGTGTGAGATGTTGAGGAATTGCATATTTCTGTGCCCAAAGGTAAACACAGGTGCTTTTGAATTATGAGGGACAAACATTTTTCATCATTAGGGTGAAAGACTTGAAGATCAGATGTTAATTTCAAAAAATGCAATCTAACTCCATCTTGTAAGTGATACTGGTAATGCTAGCTTAATTTCTGAAAATCAGTTTCATGTGCTCTGCTTTAAAAATATCATAAAATAGAAAATTTGTGTATATTCTGTCTCAGATTCATTTGTATCCTTAGGTTGACTTCAACAGAAAAGGTCTGGGTCAGACTTTTGCTTAGCTTTTTTTTCATGATGGAAAATGGCTTTCATATGATAACATTTTATTTTTGCTTTTCACATTAAATGGCAGTTCTGGTCAGTGACACATCAAGGAATAAAAGGGGTATTAATCCTGTATCTCATTACTCTTCCTTTGTGTGCAAACTAAAGTTATAGAAAACCTGAAATGTGCCTCTTTACAATAAAAGCTGTCTGAATAATTTAAGGTGATTGTACATTCCCTTGATAGAAGATTTCATACCATGCAGAGTCAATACACTATACTTCTAAGAGCTAATACTTTGTTTTAAAGAGGAAACTGCTTGATGTAAGAAAATTTTTTCTGAGCTCAAATCCTGTGTTATAAAATGACCTAATTTTTTTTTCTTCTTTTTGAAGCTTTTTATTAGAAGATGGTGAGAGCTTTGGGCAAGGGCGAGATAGAAGTTCCCTCCTAGATGACACAACTGTGACTTTGTCTCTATGCCAGCTCCAAAATGTAAGAGTAATATTGTGCACTTTTGCTTACAACCTCACTGCAGAAACATTTGCTTAAATGAAACAGGAGCTCCTGCTGCTGTTTCTACAAACAGAAGTGTTACTAATTCCAAGAGAACGCTTCTTAGCATCTGAGTCAGATTCAGATTCTGATTTATGCTATTAAATTGCTTTGTCTGCAAAAACTTACTTAAGATTTGATTTGTCTTCTGTCTCTCCATCTTTTTCCTGTGTCCCTCCCTTTCTTTTTTTTTGTTACCTTTGTTCTGGTGTAGTGCAAATAGTTGTGTAGTACCTGATATTCTCTACAATTGCTAAAGTGACTGGATAGTGAGTGTCTTCTTGTGTGCTTTAATTGCTGTCTGTTTATGGCTCACATTATCCAGAAGATCAACTTGCTTCAGTTTCAGCTCCTTGAAAAGCTTTATACTTAAAGTTGGATACCAGGTTTCCAGTAGTTAATTACCAATCTTTGGAATATATAGCTATGAAACAGCTAGTTCAAAAGATCTCTTCAAAGCATTTTACAGAAGTGCTGTCATGCAGTTTTCTTCCATCTTCAGTGGAAAACATCAACATATGATAACTCATGACTTTGCTTGATGCAATGATCAGTTACAGGATTTACTCCATATATCACTGAAATGTTGTAATTGTTCACATGTTTTTCCACAAGTTTATTGCTCTAGAATTAGGAATTTATACTGTAATAGCAAATGCAATTCTGTCACAGTTTAAAAAAAAAACCTTTCTGTATAATTACAGGGCTTAATACAGAAAGTCTCATTCTCTGCCACCATAATTTTGGGGACAATATGTCAAATACTGTGTAAATGTGTTTTCTCGGTGAAACTTTGCACACAAATGCATGAAGACAGACCAAAGAATTGGGATACTTTCTTTGCTTGGTTGACTGAGTTTGCATTGCAGGAGAGAGGTTAATAATATGCAATAATTATTGTAAACTTAATGCACACTGCAGCTCCTACTGTTGTTCTTAGGAAAAGGCAGCTTTTAAAGGTTTTTTTAAACTTTTTTAAACTGGAATTTTGGATATTGCTGCCTTCTATAAATACCACAGAAAATAAGTATCTACTGAAGTTTAATTTTGGGGACGATGCAAACCTGAACCTTAGCTGAAATAAATTTTTGAACTTACACAGTTCTTCAAACACATTTTATAGAGCAGAGCATGATGCTTATAATCAAAAGAGGAGTAGTACTGAATGAACTGAGAATGAACTGTTCTGTCAGTCCCAGGAGGAACAGGCTGTGCAGTATGCCTTCAAGTTAAGGATGCAAAACAGAGCACTGCAGGGAGCACGGTATTAAACATTAATCATGATACACCATAAGATGTCTGAAAACTCCAGTAAAAAATCCAGGCACGTTTGTCTATCACCTTTCCTGAGAGTGTCTGTATTTCCTAAAAGGAACTCAAGTTTTCATAACTCTTGAACTGATTAGAAGCATAAAACCAAGTTGTGCAGTTGCTTTGCAGCTACTTGGATAGGAAGTCCAGGAAAAAAGGTGAGGAAAAGAAAAGGAACTATGTAATGCTATTAGTCTATTGATCCATGATCATAAGAAGCCATTTTTGTGTGTGGGAATAGGTATATGGATGAGTTATCTTCAGGCAGGAGAAATTCCATCAACTCAAAAGACCTGTGTTAGTAAAGGTTTTTAGTGTTAAAGGCTCTCTGTATGCTTCTTTACTGATGGAGGACTGAGCTAATACATATATCTCAAGGCAAAGTACTAAATTTGGCAAATGAATTACTAATTAATAGTTTTTGTATTCCACTAAGATTTTCAATTGAATTCTGAGCAGCATTCTAATAATGAATTCTTTTTCTTCTTCATTGCAGAGACTGAAAGATGTTGGTGGAGAAGCATTTTATCCATTGCTTGAAGATGAGTAAGTGTGTAAATTTGTACATCTATAAGGAACTGAATTTTGAGTTATTAGTTTTATTTGAGTGGCACACTGCACAGTAAGACACAGTTGTCTCCCAAAATCAAAACTAACATGTCTTGTTTGGCTCTAAAAGTTGAGGGCTGGTAAACGTTTTGCACTTAGGGCCCTGATACCAAACTGAGGATCTTAGCCTGTTTCTCTGTTCTGAAAATCAACTGTTTATGCTGAATATTCAAAATTATCCATTTATACTTGTTTCTTACTCAGAAATGCATCATAGGTTATAAGATTTTTTTTCAGTGACTTTTGTATTTCATGCTCTTCACTACTACTATCCTAGCTCTTTCTTTCCAGCCAGTCAACTTTACCTCATTCAAACAGTAGCAATGAGCTCTCTGCAGCTGTCAGTCTTCCTCTGATCATCCGGGAGAGGGACACAGAGTACCAGCTTAATAGAATTGTCCTGTTTGACAGGCTGTTGAAGGTATGGAATCTTTCTGATGCTGAATAATTGGATTTGGCCTGTTATTTGGAAGATTTTTATAGGACCAAGTAATTGAAAAAGGAAGCAGTGATACAAGAGACCACAGTGGTAAAGGGGAAGAAAACACTACAAAAGTATAAGAAAGTCGAATATAAAAATAGAAGAAATATGTCTTTTCAGTAGTGATGAATATAAAAGTAGATTTTAAAGTATGCATATGAAAATAGAGCTACTGCTAATACTGGCTACTTACTGATGAAAATAATTTTACATCCTTTTATTTCATAACAGATTAGGTTGTTATAGATATAAATAAGCCTGTAACATTTCCCCATTTCCAAACAGTGAGGTGCCATAGCAGTGCCACGTTACAAATATGAGGTTTATGTTGGGGGAAGAAATAGCAGTTCCTAATTTACATGTATGCAGATATATGGATTCTTGTTTAAGAATGAGAGAGCTGATGCACGTTATCAAACATAACCTAGAAATGTTGCAAGATGGGTGTATAGCATGAAAATAAAAACCTTTAATAAAAATTTGGATTAGTAGATATATCCAGTATATACCAAAGCACGTTAAAGCATTTATGAGACAGAGTGGATATTTTAACATCAAACAGTAGTCTTTCACCCAGGCCTTCCAGTTAGGAATTAAATTTACTTTCTGTAAAACTTATATTCTCTGTTCAGACGGACAGTATTTGTCCTTGTGGGGAAAGACTGTCCCAGGATTGGGATTGGAATTGTTTCAGTTACATGGTAACATTTTTTGCAGTTAATCTCTTCTCTTTGTAGGCCTACCCGTATAAGAAAAACCAAATTTGGAAAGAAGCCAGGGTTGACATCCCTCCTCTTCTGAGAGGCATAACCTGGGCTGCCCTGTTGGGTGTTGAGGTAAGGGTAATGGGAGGGCATTTGCAGCAGTTCAAATAATACCTGGGGGTGGAGTGGGATAGGAATGGGATTGACAGGGAAGTTGGAATGGATTTACAGATTTGGCAGGAAGAGTTACTGGAATTTTAAACAAAATTAGTCATGAAGTTGTGCGAATAACAAAAATGTTCAGGCAAACTTGCTTCTTGCTGCTAGTGTTATTTGTTACATAACGAATGTATGTAAACTTGACTGCCTTTTAATTTTGATTATGAGATGGAAAAATAATACCCTTATAACCAAATTCTGTTAGATTGTTTTATTACTTTTGGTAGTTAAAAGGGGTTTGGTTTTATTTTTAATATTTTTGACAAATACAGTTACAATCCTTCTGCTCCAGTCAGCAATAGTTGGACAAAACAGGATGAAACATATCAAGTGTATTTTTCTCATCTACTAATCAATGAATTTCTGAGAAAGACTGGAGACTAAATAAGTCAAATGTAACCCTTTCAGACAAAGGACTAGTAAGGAATATCCTAGAAATAAAGGCTCCTCACAGAGTTCCTTGACTACATAGCTTTTGCATCTACCTTGCTTGCAATCTGTAGCATGTAGCAAGGATATTCTTGCAAATAACACATCCCAGGTTATTCAGGATATTTAGCTCAGGATATGATCTTCTGAGTGATATATCATATAAGAAAAAAAAAAAGCTGTAAAGGTAAAGAAAACCTGCTGGTCAGGGTTGTAACCTGAGTCTTGGGAGAGGAGTCACTTCAGCGGCTTGCCATCTGTACAATATGGGTAGTGTTTCCCTATCCCATAACATTAAATTGGGCTTGTTGGCATGCCTGTCTTGGGATTTATGTGAGGATAAGCTACTAGAGTAATGTATACTGTCAATATCAATTAACAATCAGCTGGATTCAGTGCCTTTTACAGGGGTTATGCTGAAAGTCACTTGCCAGTGGCTGAGGTAAGCACTGAATTTAAATTGAGCTCATCTCTTGACTTGAAAATGGGAAACTGTATCAGTTACATAGCTTTCTGCATAAACAACTGAAAATCACTGAAGATTGTACTGGGGAGGTCACAGAAAAATCTATATGTCCTGAATTAGAACAGAATGAAGATGGTTTTATTAAAATTTAGCATCAGACTTTCTTGTACTTCAGGAAATTTTTTCAGGAAAAAAATTTACTAACTGAAGTACATAACAAAAATAATGAACTCCTGCATATCAGCATGTACATTGTCATATACCTTTTGTTAGTAAGTGATTTCTAAATTCAAATATTCTTCCACATTTAGGGTGCCATACAAGCAAAATATGATGCCATTGATAAAGACACACCGATTCCTACAGACAGACAAGTAAGACTTTTGGCATTACTAAATATTGTCACTTGAAGATCATTTCCACCCATGGGAGTCATTCACCTATTACAGAAAATGTGGTTGATAATATTAAAAGGGTTCCCCTTGCCCTCTAACCTTATTTGTGCTGGAGCAAGAATCTTGCAAAACAGACAAGGACGAGAACTTTAGCTCAGTGTTAGAACATGTGGAAAGTGAAATCCTCTTTTACTTCATAATCACCGTTTCTGTAGCAGCAGCCAAGTGTAGTGAACAATACTAATGATATATTGTTAAAATTCCTGGGTTTATCGAATGCTTCTTGTGCCTGTTGGACCTTGTACAAGTGTATAGTTAGTGTAGTAGTGTACTGATAGTACTGAGTACCCTGAGATCCTGTGAGTTGTGGTTCAGAGAAATGGGGTTTTAAACAATGTGGTTCTCCAAGAAGAAAATGTTCTTAAATATTCCCGTAACAGACAGAAAAGGGAAAAAAAAAACCCACACACAAAAAAACCCCCAACAACAACAAAAAAACCACAAACACAAAAAAACACAAAACAAACAAAAAACAAAAACAAACAAGCAAACAAAAAAAACAAAACAAAAACACACACACCAAAAAAAACCCACAAAAAAAACCACAAAAAAACCCCACAAACATCAAGAGCAACAGCTGTTCTTTTCAGCTGGGTGAAGGACTATTTTCCATCACATTGGGTACAGCACTGAGAACTCTCATTTATTTGATTACCTTTTAGAGTAAAATTATATTACCACCTGAAATGAGGCCGGAAATAAAAAACTGTAATCTGCTTTCTGCCTTTTTCAAGGGTTAGCACTCTTTTAAAAATACGAATGCAGCAAAAGGAAAAAATCTGGTTTTAAACTTTGACAGGGCTGTTAGGTCCCCTGTCAGTTTTGGTTTTGAGAGTGATGGAGGAAGCAGATTGTGTTTATGATGGTGGTCTGACCTACGTTCTTTGGCTGACTTCCACCTCTAGTATTGGTAGATTGCTGTAGGACTACCCCATTTATCCCCATTTCTCTTTATATTATATGTTGGCTGTGGTGCAGATTGAAGTTGATATTCCTCGTTGCCATCAGTATGATGAATTGCTGTCATCACCAGAAGGTCATGCAAAGTTTAGACGTGTATTGAAGGCCTGGGTTGTTTCCCATCCTGATTTGGTGTACTGGCAAGGTGAGTTTGACTAGTTAGCAAGGTCAGAGAATTATATGGAAAGCTGGGACTGATTGTGGAGGGCTGATTCTCCCCCACAATAGCAGCTCTTTTGAGTGCTTTCCTTTCTGTTTCCTTTGAAGAATGAATCTATGGGTTATTGTAAGTTTAATTCCTAATAATTTATGTTTTAATTGTAATGAGAAATTGCCTCACTCTTTGTTATACATTTACTCCTCTTAAGTTTCACTCACTTTGTTTAAAAACAAAGAGTCTGCTGCTTACTGTTCAGTTCCAAAGTAAAGTTGCAAAAGTTACCGAGTGAGTTCTTGGGGTGGTAATTGGCCTTTCTTGGAAACTTTGGCAGAATATCTGTTCAGCATTATAGTTTAACCATTTGATATCCTTTCTGTTTTCATTCACTGATTTCACAGTTGTTCTCAGCATTACATGTGAAGCCCTGGTAGAACTATAATGCAAATTTTCATTATAAACTAATGAATTTATCTTACCCATAAAAATAAATTAGCTCTTTGTGCCGTTTCTTCATGGCTCTTCTCTCTTAGGTCTTGACTCTCTTTGTGCACCATTTCTGTACTTGAATTTTAACAATGAAGGTGAGTACCTTTTCCTACTGGGAGTGAAGGGGAAGCACAGTCTGTCATCTGTATTTGGCTGCAGGCAGATGTGTGTACCTGCTTATAGATGGAAAGTTTCTGTACCTAAAAAGCAATTTTAACGTTCTTGTTGCCACAAATCAAAAGAAATGGCTGGGTTTTGAAAACTGCATGTGGTGTACTGCTCTTCAAGCAGGGGTTCAACTCCTTTGTTTATTACCAAGTACAATGATGATATATAATCAAAAGCACAAGTAACCTTGTATGTAAAAGCAAGAAATGCTGCTCTAGTACATGTCTATTTCAATGAAAGCTGTAGTTCAGCCTTCTTTAGGGTGAATGTATTATTTATTAACCTAAGCGTTAACTTGTCAGACTAGCTTTATTCAGAAAAAACTGATGATAGTTTTAAATGCTTTAAAGTTTATCAGATCAGCTTTGTATATGTGACCTTCATCTTCTTAGAATGTGATTTTTTTTCAGAACAAGTCTAGTCCAATCTTTTATTCTGTTGTACCCAGCTTTCTTTGTATAAGGTCTGTGTATGGGAAAACTAGGTTCTTAGGACAATGACTCCTGTTATGCCTACTGTGCATACAATCATTTTTGTATATAGATTTAAATATCTATGCTTATTATCTGCTTAATAATTAACTTTTTTAGGTGTAGTTTTGTTTCTACCTCTGTCATTGCATCCATTTTTCTAATTCTTTCAGCTCTGGCATATGCTTGCATGTCTGCTTTTATACCGAAGTATTTGTATAACTTCTTTCTGAAGGATAATTCTCATGTTATTCAAGGTAAGCCAGTCCCTTTTTTTTTTTTTTTGTAGTTGTAAGAGAAGTAGAATTATTTCTGGATATATAAATACACTTTTTCAAGGGGTTTCACATTTCAAATGCAATTACAATCACTTAGCTGTGCAAGAAAATTAGGAACAAAATAAGTGGGTAGAGATTCAGGCAGGAGAGAAAACCCCAGTGTGCGCACACACACGCACAAGATGTTCTATGTAAAATCCTAGGTAGAAATCACTCCATCCTGCAAATTTGTACAAGCAGTAAATAGTCTTTCTAGTGTTACATTGTAAAGACTTACCCTTCATGTGATCAGGATTAGTACAAACAAGGGGTTCCTCAGAAAATGGAAGCTATGGTATTCAAGGAAATAGGAATTTGAGGAGAATTTCTTACTTCATGGAAGATAATGTCATTCAGTACAGGACAGGAGTTGGAGAACCCTGAGGAATAATGTACCATAGTTCAGTCTTCAACAACTTTATAGGTAACTCTGAGAAATTAAAACAATAGCTAGAAATGTCTGTTCTACCTGAAAGTTAATTTTCCATTTCATGAAAACTTGAAAAAGGAATTGTCTAAAAGTAGGAAACCACTTTGTCACACTCTGTTTTGGGAAGATAATTTGTCTTCCAGGCAGTTTTTAAAAACCAGAAGAAGCTCTTTGAAAAGCCATCAGTAGTTTAAAAAAACAGGTGGTAATGAATGTTATTAATTGCAAGGAGTTATGAGTGTTTATTGAATATTGAGTTTCAGAATGGCTTGCTGCCCTTATATTTCTCTTTAAGAAATTCTTCCTTAAAATACTTGTGAAACTTGTCAAGTTCAATCAATGTCTGTCATTTCTTTGTCTTCAAAAAAGGAAATTAAGAACTGATCAACAAAACTAATTAGACATGAAAGCATTTGCATATTAGATGATCAGGAGAAAGCTAGTGTAAGGAGAGAATGCAGTGGTTAGGAGGGTTTATGTATGAAAGACAATGGGTTAGCGATATTACAAACCAAAAAAAATAATAGGAAAAATTATTCTGGAGAACTTGTTTGCATCCTTTGGTCTGCAATGAAAGATTGCTTGCAGTAAAGGTCTAAAGATGAAAAGAACAAGTATGCTCCTCTGGAGACAAGTGCTTTAGACTTCAAGATTAATAGCTTGGTAAAGACTTTTCTCAAGGGGGTATACTCTTCCATAAAATAATACTTTTTCTCTCCAGGGTTTCCTGATGTTATTCCTAAGGAGCTTTACAAAAATATGTATCAGCTGAAGTTAGAAATATAGGTCAGTAGGATTATGTGAACCGAAGCAGTGTAGGCATTCCTGAGTTCTTGTTCAACATCTGGTATCATCAAGGACTCAGGGAGAACTGACCCTTTAGGATTCTTTCAGTATTCTAATTAATCTTTTCTAGGGTTGTATGTCAGAAACCAATATTTAAATACAGGTTTAAAGACAAATTCTGTGTCATTTCCCTACTTTACTGAGTTGGAAGAAAGTGTTAAGAATGTGTTATTTAACTGTCCACTGCAATTTTACCTTCTTTATGTCTTCTGTGTAGGAGTGGATGGAAGGAATCTTTCAAACTGCAAAGTTCAAAAACTCATTTCTGAACTTGTCTCATAGAAGGAAGACAGGTGTTTTTTCTAAGCTTATCAGGTGTATTTCCTTATGTGTAATAGGAAGCAAGAGCAGTTAAAGGGATTTTGGTATGGAATGCCCAATTATGTAAAACAGAAATTCATATTCCAACCAACTGCAATTGACTGTTTTTGGGAAGATTGTCTGTGTTTTTCATTAGTCCCTTAATTACCTATGTAATCCTACACAGTAACTATATTTCATGACACTGGCTATTCGAATAAAGATGGAATTTGTCAACCTGTGGTATATCCATAGAGAACCATAATGGGCACAAATCTTCATTTTAAAAATAAATGTATTTCAGGGAAGCTAATTGGGAAGTCGTCTTCACCAGCGTGTGGCTGAATGTGGAGGATTTCTGGTTTGTTATACCTGACTTGAGACTGCTGGCTGTTTCATGAAATCAAACTGATGCAAGATGCACTTTTTTTAAATTATTATCATGTGGTCTGAATTTAAGGCACGGACTCAGTTATCTCCCGAACTTGTATGCATGTGAATAAGAATAACTTTGGCTGGGAACTGAGAAAACATGAGACATATGAGCAGCTCCAAAGCAGTCTGACTGTAGTGACACAAACTCCTCATGGGTCTGTTTACCTACTTACCTTCCCAACTGAGTGGTGAGAGCTGAGGCAGCTGTGGCACAGCAGAGATTCAGTATCAGAGTGGAGAGGCTGGCACTCCTAAGATGCCAGAAATCTCTTAAGAGGTTTAGTGTGCTGGGGATTTCATTGCAGCTTGAAGCAAAAAAAAGTTGTGAAATTCTGAAGTAGGATCAAGAGATCTTAATTTTTTTATTACGAATTACCTTGGAAAATTAGGCATCCTTTTAAGTATAATTTGCAATGATTGCAGGGATTGTTGCTTGTTTCCCTAGTAATTGTTACAGTGAGAGTATTGTTTTTCAGTCCTCCTGAGGCAGAATGAGCTTTTAAAATTTCTCAGTCCAAAGAGAATTATTTTACTGACTGACCATCCTTAACTTGGTGGCTTAACCTGAGAGGAGTTGAGTGCAGATAATCAAGATTTACATAATGCAGAAGTCTATAAACAACTGAATTTTTAAACTCCTATTCCTAAAGGAGTCTATGTGTGGAATTGTCCCAGCAGAGCCACTTCTGTGCTTCTTAGCAGTAGAACTGGAGTTTAATTTTGCCACTTCAGGGATGAAGACAAACAGCAATAAGGAGTTATTTGCTCTCTCCAAGTGAGACAGCAGTAGGCATGTAGTCCTGCAATAGACTTTGAAGGAAGCAATGGCAACTCTGGATGGCTAATTTGTGGAGCTGTGTGGAGTTGGTGTATGGGGATTTATATTTGGGGACAGTAGTCTGTGGAGCCTTGAGATGTTCTGGAAGCAGGGTTCACATTCTCTGTCTTCCTCCCCTGGACTAGCTGTCTGGGCCCTAATTACTCTGTTCTTCGGAGCATGGAGGAAAAGGAATTGCCATCTGTTAGAAAATAGCAATGTTATTGCCTCTTCATCTCCCTTCTAACAAAGCATAGGACAGAGTGGGCAAAAGCAGGAGAGGGGCAGAACAGAGAGAGAAATCTGTCAGTGTCTGTGTTCTGCTGTCTGCTTCTCTTCTAATTAAAAGCAAATGTTATTTAAATAATTTAATAAAACTGTACCCATTAATCAAATGTGCCAGGCTGAAGATGCAATAAATTTTATCTCTTACAGTATTTCTTCTTGTTGCTTCTAAAAATAATAAAAAGGAAAAAAAGGCAAACAAATTAAGGTGTTACTGATCATGACAATGGTAACCTTACAGCCCCGTTACCTTAAAACCTCAATTTTCAGATGGCAAAATTTAACTTTTTAGAAAAGAAACCACACAGAATATTGTTTAAATAATATAAACTTTTGTATTGCTAAAACAGTTTAAGTCTTAAAAATCCTTGGAACAGTCTTGTTTTAATTTGCTTTTATTGGTATTTTGTGGCTCATACCAAAAAGTCTTTAACTTTGCATGTCAAATATGCATCACAACCTAAGAGTGAACCATTGTTAAAAGTTCAAGTTGAGAAGTGCTAAGGATGAGAAATGAAACATTTCTTCCTCTGTATTGACTGTAATGATGACAAGGAACACAGTGGTGTTATTCACTTGCTGTTTTATTGTAGGTTTGAAATTAGTGGTTTTCCTTTCCTACAGCTCTACTGTGAGCTAGCAGCATGGGATGGCTTGTGTTTTTGACAACAGTCTTGCATTTGTCGTTTCAGAGTACCTGACAGTGTTTTCCCAGATGATTGCATTCCATGATCCAGAGCTGAGTAACCACCTTAATGAAATTGGTTTTATTCCAGATGTAAGTGCTAAGGGTCCTTATAAGTATTATTCAAATGAATTAAAAAATGGAAAATAGGGGCAACTGGGATGAAATACCTTTCCAGATTGTTTCAGTAGCACTTCAACAAAACTGAAACTTCCATATTAATGGACCTTTCTGAATATGCTGATGAAATGATAAAGTTTTGACTCTTATTTTACATGCTTCAGTCCTTCCTGTTCTGTTGGGATGATAAATAAAAAAAAAATACTACTAGCCAGTTATTATCACTTACATATTCATCTTAAAAGGTGTATATATTAATTTTTGAAGTGTGGATTAATATACAAAAATTAATGTGGCCATAAATTACTAATAGCAAAATTACTGCAAGCTAATTAAGTGCTGTTAATAGACATACAATTTTGCAGAAAAAAAATATGTGCAAGTGTGGTTAATCTTGTAGATGTGTCAGATGTTGGAAAATGCTTAGCAGCCATTTGCTGGAGTCTGTCAGAAACGTGGGACAAGGGTATAACTTAGACACAAGTTTTATGCTTTCCTTGGAGAAAAGTCTGGAAGATGGAGGAAAATAAAAATTGAGAATGCAACCAAAACACAGGAGAGAGGGTAGGCTATGCTGGAAAAAGCAAAACAAGACCTTCTTTAGAGCCTCACTTCTGGCTATCAGTGTAAACAGTAAAGCTTTCCTCCTGCTTTTTAGAGAGGTGCATGTAGTCCAAAAAGCCAAGATAAAAGTAAAAATGTTTGCCTACTACAGCATTATTGCAGTTTATGATTAATGTTTCTGAAATGTAGATTTAGACATGGCTATAGAGATAAGTTTATCATTCTATATTTGACATTTAGAAATTTTGTGATTACAAGTTGGTCATAAGAACGTGATGACAGAGAAGTCAAAATGGAAGAGGGAAACTGAAGTCAGGAGATATTGATGTAGAAAAAACGCCTTCAGAAATAAGAAATTTATATGCATTGTTTCTATACGCAATATAAAGATTACTTTATCGGAAAAGTCTTATGCTTATAGGAAATATTTTAAGTTAGACCACCAAGGCCAAGCCTCTGAAAGACCTTTGTTGTGCACAGCTCCTGAGTGAATTTGTGGGCCTTTGGGACTGGCAGATATTCATTATTGCCATTGACAAAGATTGTAATGGAAAAGCAAGTATATATTTTAATTTGTGGAGGTGTTTTAGTGTAATAATGTTGTTTGACTGATACAAATGTAAAAGATTTTCAGTGCAGTGTTAAAAGGAGCAGAAGAGAAATCCAGTGTATTGTATTATAAAGAGAGAAGTTTGACAAGGCCACGTGTATTGGAGATGACCCATGTCTGAAGAGGGCAGGTGGGAGGAAGATGAAAGGAAGGTGAGGAGAAGGGAGAACATTGATCTGTAGAAAGCCTAGATATTTGAGTAGACAAAGGGCGAGGGTAGCAGCAACATTTAAGTTCCTGAGGGAGAATCAATTATGCAGCATCACTATGTAAATGCACTTGATGCTTATTTGTTAAAGGCCACAGATGACCAGAGCAATTCCTCTGTATATTTTGTCCAGGAAACTAGTTCCCACTGAAGAGGTAAAGATGTGATTTCCTTGACACCCTTACGGATCCTCATTTGGGCTACTAATCTCTATGTGAGAGGTCAAGTTATATTTCAGTGTTCTCCACTGTAAACTTCCAAAATACAAGTCAGATGGAACAGTTTAATATCACATTTTGTTATATTTTAGTTTGCATTTTGTTAGTCATTGGACAGCACATAGTCACACGTGAGCGTTTTCTCTAAGAATTAGTCTAGAAATTATTAGGTAGTATAGTAAATAATTGCAAAACAGAGGTATATTTTTGGATAAAGCCTCTTGCATTGACAAATGCTAGTTCTAAAATTAACACTAACCTCTGAAGAGAAGTTGCCCTTTCTAAATTGTCTGTCTCATTTTTGGGGGGATTTTTTATAGTTAAAAGTTGTTCTGACTTTCAGATTAGTGAGCGAGGTGATTTTTTTTTGTACTCATAACAAGACAGCACAGGATCCATCAAGGTGAAGTATGTGCACTGTAGTAATGAGATCTGAACTAGAGTTTCGTGCTTGAGTACTAATCCTATCAAAGTAAATCCTGATTAATCTTTCATCATTGAAACGCAGGCTCCGCTGCAAGGAAGATTGTGTTTCCTGGCACCCTTCTCATTTGCTTCAGGTCACGTAGCTCTCAGAATATTGAACACTGCTGAAGCTCGAGTCGTTCTGAATATTATTAGCTGATGTGGTGCCTGGATTAGGTACATTGCTGTGGCTATGTGATTTTCATGTAAATGCAGGGGTGATATATACAGTGAATCTTACAGTTCTTCTTTGCTCACTCTCCCAAAGTTTATGATCTTCCCCACCTTATATAATGCTTCATAATATTTTCCTTAATTTGCTGAATAATTCTGACCTTTAACAGCAGACCAGTTTTAACTGAAGAAAAATGAGTAAGTGTACTATGTTACTAGAAGTGTAACTATAGGCATAAATTATTCTAAAGCACTTTCAGCTGCAAATTGTGGAAGCTAGAAACAGTTGTCATATAGTCCTTAACAGATGTCAAAGTCTGGCTGCATTTAACTTTTATCAGTGTGCTGGAGCTGCTGGCACAGGTGGGTAGATGCCTTAGCTTGGTTTGGGTGATACACAGGAGGTGTCAGTAATAAGGGCCTCATCTACAGGAAAATTCAAAACCCTGCCCTTGAAGTACTTTATCTCTATTCTGCTACACAATTACCTGGTGATGAATCTGGAGGAGAAGTTTCTTGCTGGTATTTTTGTCTTGTGAAGAAAGTGATAATTCCTTACATTTTGTTTGTGTCGGTGCTTATAGATGGGTAGAATGTAATATTAAAAATTTGACCAAATTTACATTATCTTTTGCACCTTTCTGTAGCCTTTAAATATATGATTAATTTTCTAGGCAACACATAGGATTGAACCTAAGTGTGAATATATGTGTATGTATTTAAAGATGGAACGTGAAGGTGAAAGATCCTGAGTTTATAGACTAGATTATTGCATTTGGAAGGGACCTACAACAGTCACCTAGTGCCTGACCACTTCAGGGCTGACTTAAAGCATGCTGTTAAGGGCATTGTCCAAATGCCTCCTAAACACTGACAGCCTTGGGACATCAACCGCCTTCCATGAAGCTTTTTCCAGGGTTTGACCACCCTCTCAACCTTCTGTAGACACACGTGTGTAAAGCTCTCATCATCTGGAGGATCAGTCAAATAATGAAACAATCCTGACAGTTACATCAGGCAATAAAAAAATCCTTATGGAAAAGGCTTTCATTGACATTTGAACCAATATCTCTGAGAGCTTTGAATGTCTAATGGCAGATGTACTTTTCTCAAAATATGGCCACCTAGCTATGGACAAGTAAACATCTTCACCGTGCTGAAAAACAACACAAACTGCTTTTCCAAACTGAGATACTGAGCAGAATTTGTCATAGCAGAGCACCATTGGAAAGGAAGCTTTAGATAGGGATAATGGAAAGATGAAGAACAAAACCTAGTCTGAGGTCAACAGATTTGAATTGTAACCAAAAAAACCCTGTGGATTTATTGTTTGAATGGGAATTGATTTTAAGGGTTTGCTGTGTGCTTCATATATAAGAAATGTCCAAGTCCTTACTTCAAAGCACAAAAGACCTTGTATTTTACTAGCAAAACAAGATGATAATCATGGAACTGCTCATCGAAAAGTAACTCTAAAAAAAAAAAGAAGTGTTCAGTTTACAGGCTCTTAATGCGACTTATGCTCAGGCTGTTCCAGTGGTTCAGATGCTGCTTTGATCGCACATTAGGCGTGCTTCCCAGCCTACGGAGAGTTAAGTGTCAATAAAAACCGCAACCCCGTAATGTTTCAAGGTTCGGCGGGGAAGGGTTGAGAACTTCTCTCTTCCCGGAGCGTGCTATTCCAGCGGCAGGGCACAGCGCTGTTGCGGCGGGGGGTCGCTGGAGGGCAGCATTTACCAGCGCTGCGCGAAGTCCCGCGGCACCCGGCGGTGACCTCGGGGCTTTGGTTTGCTCTTTAATAGTCCTCTGGTTGCTTTTTAATAGTCATTGTAACGTTTTCAGGTGTACCGAGGCCTCCTTGTCTTAAAACATTATATTTATTAAAAACAGAGAGGAAACTTCCTTCAGTACAAACTTGCCGGATAACCTTCTGCTGAAGGTGTTAGACCTATTTTTCATGTCACTGTTAATAGTTTCGGTGAGGGTGGTTTAGAGCAAAGCAGTGCTTTTTCTTGCGGTTACCTTTTAATAATCTTTAAAGTTTCTCATTTTGTGTATAGTCTTGTGGTTGTTTTTTGGTTTTTTTGTAAGTGCATATACAATAGAGGTGTTCGTGAAAGTAGGAGAAAGTTCGGATCTGCTTTGGTAAAACATTTTAGTCAAATATATGAAAAGGAGGAAATAATTACTTTTAAATACCAAGGAATTAATGTAGTTCAAAATGGCATAATATGTACCTCCAAGCAAAGAGGAGCCTCAGGCTACTAAACTTGTTTTCCTACTGCACTGGAAGCTAGATATTGCATACGAACAAGGAGGTAAACAGATATTAGCTGATAACAACCACTGTAGGGGATATTTCAGGGAACAGGGCATGTTATTATTCACTAGAATGCCACCTATCCAAGGCATGACATAGATATACTTGGGGAAATAGTATGAATGTATTGTAAGATTAAAATGGTGATAGAAACTGATTTTGGTTTAGATTTTGAACCCTTAAAATCGATTGGCAGGTTAGAGGCCAAGCTTCATTAAAGTCTCCTGAATATTAAAAGTGGTGAACAGTCTGGTCATTGCAGCCTTTTTAGTTTATGGACAGTATGGTTCTGATATTATCAGGTGCTCAGATGAAGCCATAGGAATGAAATCTAGAGAGAGCTGAGCTAAGAAGATTTTCAGCAAATGTGTGCGGTGTTTAGTCAGTGCCATAACACAGTTAAGAGTTTATGGAATAAGTAGTAATTTATTAACATAATATCAGTTATGCTTTCTGCTTCTCATTTGTTTACTTCCAGGAGAAGCTCAGCAGGAGAACTAATTTGCACTTATTATGAGCTAAAAAGTAATACGTTAAGCTTTATGTCTAGCTGTAAATCTTCAGAAGTGTAAAACAGCACATGAGCTATGCAGCTGAATAAAATTTGACAATGATCGTCTCACTCTTGCGTTCCTAATTTATGGGGACTTTCTGTGCAGTTTGTTTCAAGAAAATGGATTCTGTTGCCTGCAACATGCTAAATACTTCATTGAAAAATAAGTCACTCTCAATGTAACATAAATGCTTAGCTCTTCTCTCTATATATGATGTCATGAGGATAAAAGTTTGCGAAAATTAAAGGTTTTCTCTAGCTATTGCAGTAGCACAAGTTCTTAGACAGTCTTGAAATGATGCAAGTGCTGAACCAGGACATCATCAGATGGCACCTGCCTTTAAAGGTCACAGTAGAACTACATAAATACTTCACTGATACTACTTTTGTGAATAAAATTGTTCTTAGTTCCTTCACTGGAAAGTATACATTTTAATAAATAACAACAGAGGAGGTTATATAATAATAACAGAGGTTATTTTTTACCTTGGAAATTGCAATTTGCACTTTTAGTTCTCTATATAAAACCTTTTTTTTTTTTTTTCTGTAGTCAAGAGGATATATTGAATCAAGTTGGTTTATACTTTTTCAGGCATCCTTGGCTAATTTTTGCTTAGCTTGGTGAGAATTGTGATAGTTTAATGGAGCAGGTTTTTTAGTCATTAAAGATTTTGAGTGTTATTTTTTGCAAACAGGAGCCTGGGGAGGGTGGTGGTTGTTTTTATTATTGTTTTTGATACAGTATCACAAACTAGTAATTTGAAAGACAGGAGAACTAGGGGTGGGGGATGGATAAAGCTTCTGGGGGGCTAAGAGTTGTATGATAGTGGATCTGCTAGTGCATTTATTTTCCATTTTAAATACATTCATAAGAAATAGGCAGTTTCTAATGTAGTTGACAAACAACATTAGTTCTCAAAGCATTTTTCTGTTTTCTTCCCTTCATCCCCACCTTTTGCAGCTTTATGCAATTCCTTGGTTTCTTACCATGTTTACACGTGAGTATGCTTTTCTTTATTCTCTGATTAAATGTTCTTGTATTTCTTAAGTATATTTTTTTCTCACTTTTTCAGCTAAAGCTTTCCTAATTGGTACAATATGTAATTTAGTAGGATGCTTGTAATTTGCAAGGATGTGTTCTGGTTTGAAAGTCAATACTGCCTGGCACTTACTGTATGTCCTGGTTTGACAATAGTTAGTGTTTCTATTTTTTTTAATCATTACAATGAATTTTAACTAGATTATTTTACATGTGGAGTATTTAGAGTGTGTGTAAAGGAAGCTGTTATCTACTAGAAAAAGATGCAATAATAGTTAAAAATCAAAACCAAACCTCACCACCATCCCCTGCCCTCATGCAAATAAAGTAAGAAAGAGTAACTTTGTTTTTGAAGATCATCAGAAAAAGCTTTTTTTTTATTGCACTTATACACACTTATTCTAGTTGCCCTATGTTATTTGTGCATATATGTTAGGAACAAAGAGAACTTTATAATTTGGTGAGCTTTTAATTAAAGAGGACAAAGTTAATAAAGCAAATCTAGAAAGCAATTTAAAAACTTCTTTCTTCAAAGATCTCAGTGATTTTTTTCGTGTCATGTCAACATTGGCAGGCTTTGAATTCAGAGTTTTTATGAATTGGCAGAATAAGAAGAGTTGATGCATTATTTCTCTGATGAAATATCAAAGAATTTAAAGTGAGATTCTTGATTGCAATTTCTAAAGATCTTGACTGTAAAGCACTAGTTCATGCAGGTTCTATAACTTGCATGAGAATCACCACATTTGGAAAACCAAGGAGATGATTTCCTTGGCAATCAATTGCAATAAAATCTTAGAACTATTTAGTTGAAAGGATAGCTTATTTTAAGAGAGACACCTTCAGCTTTATATGCTATTTTTACTAGGCCTTTCTCCTTGTCTTTCCTTTATTCTACCAATACTTGCTTTATTCTGCTCATTCTTTTGTCTAATTGTAAGTAATTGATCTTATTCATTAACTTGTCAGTGTCTTTATACCATGAAAAACTGATATGCATGTCCTAGTGCATAATTACACTGTACCAGAAGAAAAATAAATTACCTGATTTTGCGTAAGATTGAAATGTGAAAACCCACACACTTCCAGTATTCGTACATGAAAGAAGACAGTGGTGATTTCCAGAATAATCAAACTGCATGTGAAGACAAACACGATCCTAAAGGGGTTGAGTCCTCTTTGCTCCCAAATAAAAAAGAAAGAACTCTAAAAGGGGAGATGAAAAAAATGTATAGGCAATTCATTAACACTGTGAGCGTGTGTATATGCTTATGGAGTTTTTATTGTGCTTATTTATCATACAGATGTCTTTCCTTTGCACAAAATTTTTCATTTGTGGGATACATTACTGCTTGGAAATTCCTCTTTCCCATTCTGTATTGGAGTTGCCATACTTCAACAGCTGAGGGATCGTCTTCTGGCTAATGGATTCAATGAGTGCATTCTTCTTTTCTCGGATTTACCAGGTACTGTCTTCCCCAGTGTGTTGCTGAATAAAGTACGTGCCTGCATGTGAATATATGTTTTGAAATCACAGTAGATTTAGGCAACTCACTGCCAGATTGTGAGGGTCTTAACTACAGTTTGTTGTAGTTAGTTGAAGTCTTCTTGCTGTCATCAGAAAGAATTCAGTAAGCTTATTGTTATTTCCAGGTGAAGGTTGGAGTATTTTGTAGTGAAATTTAGAACAATTTAAAATAATTCATAAATGACTAGTTTTAGGCATACCACATATAAAAACAATCCAGTTGATAAGAATTTTTTTAAAAAATAAGTTTAGTGCTGTTCTGAACAGTGCTTTTCCACTTTGATGCTAGTACTAGCCTGTTTTCCTCTCAAACATAATTAAACTTTTACTGTGGAAGCAATCAATATAAAAGGATTAGGGAAAACAGTATAAGAAGCCATTGGAATTGCTCTATGTTAAATCAGTTTCCATTTGAAATTTAAAGCTTTTAGAAGAACTTTCAAAATCGTATTGAAGGTTGGATGACCACTGTGCAGAAGCTCTGTTTCCTTGTTCAATGGGAGGTGGTTAACCTGTCCATACAAAAAGTGTTGCATTATTGCCATTAACCATGAAGCTTAGATCTTCTTTCAGAGCAAGCGTGTTGTGAGACAGTAGAATACATTTGAACTGAGTAAGCCATGTCAACGGAAGATGTGTTTTAATTTGTAATAACACAGGAATAGGAAGGCCACCACACTCAGGACATACTTATGTTCTTGTATTAATTCCCTCTCTCCAACCTAGGATCTTACTAACATAATAGTGATGTTGGTTAAGAGGTGGCACTGTTTTAATTGTGTGGCTTTTCTTTAGATAACTTTAACTTTTGGGTAATTCCTGGGCTATTTATGGGTTTATTTGCCTCTATTTGAACACCATGTGTGCAATTCAGTAATTCATAATTTATTTAAACAGAAGTTGTTCTTCTTCAGACGAGCTGAAGAAGAGAATAAAGTTTGGAGGAACATTGAAGCTTAAAAAGTCTTAACTGTTGTAGTCTTCACTACTGAATAGTTTACAGAGGTGTAGGATATGGCAGCAAGCAGGCTGAGGCTGCATAAATCAGTCTCTCAGAAATTCAGTAAGTTGTCATAAATTAAGCTCTGTGATTTCTTTTAATACTGTTGTTGCAAATTCTGTCTCTCACTGTATATTCTCTTCCACATGGGCTCAGATTTCAAAATTTTATGTCTCCTACTTATTAGTTTAGTACTATGCATTTGCTGCTGTATTTTTCAATTTATAAGAAATTTAATTAGACCATTCCTTATGATGTGGATTTTTCATTTTCAGTCTATATGCTTAGTCATTTCAAATGCTTGTATTAAATTTAACTGGATATCTTCAGATGGCTGAAATGTGAGTGCTAAACTAAAAGATAGTCTCTCTCTGCCTCCTCACCTCCCTCATCTATTAGCTGTATGTCTTAGTTAAATATAGATTCATTGATATTTAACTTATTTTCTCACTTAAGATCATTTTTCCAAATTTTTTTTCCTTGAAGGGTCCTAGATTATAGATTCCAATTTGTTTTCAACCAACTGAATTACTGACAGTTGAAGTACTTTACGCTGAGGTTATGTGTAATAACACATAAGTTCTCATAATACATATCTGTTTATATGGTAAAATTAATTAATGAAAATTTGTAGTGTTAAAATGTTCATGTGTTCTGCTGGTTCTTGCTGATGACAGCTTTGCTGATACTCTGGTAGGAAATACCAATTTCCTAAAAGATGTACATTTTTTAAGCACTGGTGATGTCTGTGATATTTTGGATATCACCAGTGGCACAGTTGAACATTGTGAGGTTAATTTGAAGCATATCATAAAATACTACTTGTAAGACTACTAATGAAAAAAAGTATGAGGGTGTGACTTAAACGTTATTGTTAAATGTTAAGTGTGACTTAAATGTTATTGGTCTAGCTTAATCAGTAACTTTTTGAACATATAGTTATCATAGCCTTGTGTCTCCTCTTTCTGACTTGAGTCTTATTTCTCGTTGAGAGGCATTGACTGATTATGCTTCTTGTCAGTTGTGTCTTCAAAACAAAACTTCTATTATTTTAGTTACAATAAATTGGGTGCTGAGGGTGAGAACTTCCTGAAAGTAATTTTCAAGCAACATTCACCTGAAACTGGGTCACCTCCAGGAAGAGATTATTTTGTTCAAAACATCTGCAACAATTTTAATTCAGTTGTTTTAAAATCAGTTGTTGCTCAACAGTCTGAAACTCCTGTAATTTTCAAGCGTTCTGTGCACTGGAATTTCAGGGCTGCTAATGAAAGCAACTTGCTTTCCAGACTGATAAAGGTTTTTTACCGCAATCTTGAAACTTTGTGGAACACTTAAGTTTTTTTGTTTTTTACAGAACAAACTAAATCCTCAGTACTTTATTTCCAGTTCACTGTATATAACACAGTTTTAATTACTGGTTAAAAAAGTTAATGATGTGAGGAAAAAGAAGCAGCATCATGCCATTATTGGTTATTTGATTCTGAAAGCTCTTTCCAATGCTTGTCTCAAAGCTTTGGCCATATTTTTCTACAAAGTCAATACAATTGGGCATTACTTGCTATTTTTGGAAGCTCTATTTTACATTTCAATTTATTTCTATGTAGTTTAAACAATGTCCTAGCATATTAAGAAATTTATTTGAAGAATTTGGCAAAATAATTGGTTAATTAAGAATACTGGAAAATTCCTTTGCTGTAGCCACAAATGTCCTAGTTCATTCCTCGTGGGGGCTGTGTGAAGGAGACATATATCAACTGCTAGAACTTAAATAGGATTAGATTGTTTAGGAAATTACTACCTAAGGTGTTTGTTTTTCTTAAAATTCTCTTTCATTTGTTCTTTCATATTTTTTCCATTGTGTTTAAGGAGCTCTGTTAAGTATGAGCCTTATCCAAACAATATAAATACCAGAGAAGATTTAGGAGGTACTATTTGAGACAGACAAACAAAACCAACCCTGAAGTCACTGCTAATTTTTTACGTGCCGTTTAGAGATATAGTAAATTTTGTCTTATTCAGGTGATGCAGAGAGAGCAAAGTCTGTATGCATTACTTTTGTTTTTCCTAAAAGTCTGATGTAGCAGAATGCAGTAGGAACATACAGTGCTACCCCTCCACCTCTTCTGCCCTGCCTGTTTCTCCTAAAAAGCCTGTAACCATCCAACAGGCCACTCCAGTCTCAGGTCTCATCCCACCAGGCTTCACTTGCACCAATGATGTCACATCTCTAGACTGGGCCAAAGCTTTGAGCTCCTGTTGTTTTTCCTCGTGCTGAGTTCATTAGTGGAGAAACATTTCAGGTGTGGTACAGTGTAGCCAACACCTCCTGAGGCAGATTGAGGGATCCCATGAGTGCTGGTTTTCTCAAGTTTTGGCTCACCATCCCATCACTCATCACTGGCAAGCCTGGTTTTGTCCCTTTCCACCATCCAAGTTAGTTTCAAGCTCCTGCACTAAAACTCTTTTTCCCTTCTGAGACAGGTGCATCCTGTCAGGTGTCAGTAGACCAGGTATTGAGTAAATCATCCCATGGTCAAAAAATCCAAAATTTTTCCAATTACACCAACCTCAGAGCCTCTCGTTGACATGGTGGATTTGCCTATTCCTATCAATATTATTCCTTGTTACTGAAAGAAGCAAGAAAATCACTACCTGTGCTCCTGATCCCTCTACCAATCGTGCCAGTGCCCTGAAGTCTCTTTTGATTGGCCTCGGACTTCTCTTTGTTATTTCATTGCTGCCAGTTTGAACAATTAATGGCAGATAGTAATCAGAGGGTCTTTTTAGACTGGAAAGTTTTCCAGTAATTAAAAAAATTATTAGTAAAAATTATTAGTAGTAAAAAAATATTTTTGAGCATGTTCCTCATCTGCTCAGTTAAATTGACTTTTTGTAGATGCAGGTGTATTTCATAATGCAGTTCCTCAAGATTATTGACTCTGGTACAGAAGCAGAGAGATTCATAAGGGCACACCTGCTCACGAAGGCTGTTTAATAGTGTCAGACTCTGTAAGATTGATGTTGTTTTACCTGAAGCTGTGAGTTCTTTAATTATTCACCTTTTCCACTTGTAGCGACACAGACAAAACACAGTTCTAGATTATGGATCCTACCCTCTTGAGACTAAAGACAAATGCTGAAGTGAGTGACACACTATGGAAAAAAACCACAAAATCCTTTATTTTAGTCTGTAGTTGTCACTGGCAGAAGAAAATCAAATATATATCCTTTAGCAAAGGACTGTCTGTCACAAGAGATGATGTTTCATAAAAAGGGTGAAAAGTGAGTTCATCAGTAGACCTTTCCTATTGCGTGTCTTAGAAACAGTCTGACATACAGCTTATGCCTTCTGTTTCTTGATAAAAGCTTAATAGTACTCTTCATAGTGAAAGGGCACTTCAGAAAATAGATTATCCACCAGTTAGTCATGTAGGATTTTGTACACCTTTACATTGGAATAAAATCAAAGTACAGGAAGGGAGATTGTCAATATACTAGCATTTCTAAGCATGCAAAGACAAAATTCAGGCCACTCTTATCTGAGCTTTGCTTCTAGATGTGGTGATGATTTTTTTCTCTATACAAAGGTGTATTTCCCTCTTGTTTTGTTTTATTAAAATTATGAGCATAAAATTATTTCAGTATTAGACTCATGCTTAGAAAGAAAGAGTATGCACTAGACTTTTTTCTTTTTTCTTTTACAGAGAAAGTTGCTGACAGAGCAAGGTGCCTAATAGGTTATCTATCTATAGTTTGGTTACACTGAGTGTGTCTACCTTTACAGGTGTAAATGGTCTGCTCAATAATCTTTAGTTCTCTAACTGTTAATTGAGGAGTTTTAAATAAACTGCACAAATAATGCAGCAGTAAAATTTCTTGATTAAATGTACATTAGCAGCACATCTCTATATATTGTAGATATATTTGGAGACTGT